GTGCAGAACTCGTTCATAGTCACAAGATTAAAGCCACCTCAGCGTTTTCTTTCACTTGCGATGAATGCAATTTTTGGTTTTTTCTTTTTTATTTTCAAGTGGTAAGAGTTTTGTTCATCAAAATGGTATTTTATGTTTAGTCAATTATTCATCCTGGCTGTAACAAGTAGAGCAATATAGAGTTCAAAATATGCTCCAGATGGTAAAAACACAAATCAGAAATAAATCAATTTATAAAAAAAAAAAAAAGGAAGAGAGTTGTTTTTATTGCTGTAATTTTACTTTAAAATATTCATAACCTTGCTTCTGGTTCTAAATTAGTCCAGAATACTTTCAGCTAATATCCCTCTGAATTTGGAGAAATTTAGAGCTTACTGGTTTGTTTTTTTAAAATAATAATAAAAAAAAAAAAGTGTCAAGTCAGATGCCAAAATAATTCACATCAAAAATACACTTTTATGGAGCAAAAGGCCTCAAGAACAAATACTTCATCACACTCAAACTGTTCTCAGTGCACATTAGCAAAAGGAACACACTTTAGGACAAAACCCTAAATGAAACATGCCTGGAGAGGAGATGAAGCCAGATAAAATGAGGGAATAACTAAGGCAGACCAGACAGATTGAGAAAGGATAAAAGCAGAATGTGACCCTGCATTTTTAAACAGTGATAAGAAAAAGCTTGATCTTACTATTGTACTATTTTTGTACAGTTTTTTTGTTTGTTTGTTTGTTTTTCCCAATTAAATTACACTACCTTCAAGATCAAACACTATTTTGGCAGGTGTCTGGCTTCAACAGTTGTGAATAAATTTCAAATTTCTATGGCACTAATGCATAAATTCAAGTTCAGACTGGAACCAAGTGTCTGTCCATAGTTCTGAGAGCAACACCACATTTCCACGTGGTCCTCTACTCCACGAAACAACCTGCAATTCCAAGCTGATGCTGCTGTTTTCCATAACTCACATTCCCACAAAAATGAACTTTAAAGCAATTGAGAGCACTTTTCTGAGGACCACATTTATATATACAGGGTGTAACAAGAAAACCTCCGCATTAAAATTGTATAATCATTCTTTTCTTCTCACTTTAAGTAATGTGATCAAGGAACTACGGTGCAGAAAAATAAAAAAGGTGAATTTTTATTTTAGCTCTGTCAACAATGTTTACACTAAAGGCAAGCATATATTACAGGCAAAGAAATATTTGTTCCAGTACAAACCCATATGTATTTGGCCACTAAACCATCCACAAAGTTTGTGGAGTCATTATCCCACAGAAATTAAAAGATATAGATGTTCAAAACAAAAGCAAGACTTAAAAGGAAAAAAAAAAACATGAAACAATGAAGTTGCTAAATCCCAGAACAACTCAGGAAAAACCTAGCTAAATTCAACACTCGGCTCCACAGACAGTAACCAGCAGTAATTTCACCTACTGAATTTATTTGTGTGTATAGCTGCAGGATTTTGTCCAGTTTGTGCAGTAATATGCCTTGGAATGGAAAAAACACCCAAACAAACAAAAACCCAGAACCCCAAAACTAACACAGTAACCTCTAAAAAAAAATGTATAAAACTGACTGTTTGAGAAAAAATTTACTAAACTGGATGCAAATTATTCACACAAGTAAGGATATGCACAATCAGGCCCATACTAATTAAGCACACTAAACATATCGACACTCATTAAAGATCTATCTGCCAGAATTTATTTTATCTTGGCTTTCTCTTCAGTTCTTATGGGTTATTCAATCACTTGCCATCGCCCAGGAAAGGAAATATTGCACTATGAAGACAAGAGCTATAATTGGATATTTCTGTATTTCATTCCACATATATGACTGGATGAGAATGGATGGGAAAAACATGAACAGAGATAATAATAGCAAGTTGAAACATTTAGTAAGAAACCCACTGGGCACAGAATAACATCTCAATTCTTCCTCAGTACACAATGCTGTGTTTACTGCAAAATCAGCTAAGTTACTATAAGTGAGATTTTTAATGAAAACAATTATAAATTTAAAATAACTGTGTTTAAAGCATTTAACAGTCCCGAAGGTCAAGTGATTACAGCAGTTACAAGACCCAAGGGACATGTTCACACCAAAACAAAGTGAATAAATTACTTCAGCCAGTGTATGTAATCAGTAAGTGACCACAGAGGTTATTCAATGTATAAGCCCAGATGACTGCCATGCAAAACCCATAATGAAAATGTAACAGCCAAAGGGGAAAAAGCAGAAAAACTAGCAAAAGTTGCAGGAAAGGCTGAGAAGTAGGAGGAGTGGGAAAGAGAGCGTGGAAAGCACGTTCTGTGATTTGGCTGTGGAGGCAAGGAAGGACAATGAGTGTTAATGAAACGAAAAAAGGAGGTGCTGAACACTTCTCCCAGGTGAGAGACCCAAATTGTTGCACCTCACAAACTATAAAACTGCAGGGCTGACAGAGTTTTGCTCTCAGCCCTGTATAACTTTGGCATATGTAATGCCCAGTGAAGCACAAGCAAAGCAGGAGTTCAGAATTAATCATCTTTTAACTTTTCCCTTGGCTTTACTGCCAAAAAAAAAATATGGACAGTTATTGGTTTATATTTTATATTTATTAGTTATTCCATTATACAGTCCTAGTGGAGATGAACCCCTGGTTTTTTAACCACAGAGTAGGTAAGACAAACTGCAGAACGAAACCCAGCTTTGATCTCACTTCTCTCCCTCGTGGCATAAAATGATACGGGTGTGTTGTCTTCATTACAGCTCCACAACACAATTGCCAGTGCAGAAAACCGTGCCCATGAAAGATTAGGAAAACCCTTTTCTATAAGGACAACACTGTATTTGATGGCAGTTCTCAGTATGTGGCTTTGGAATGAAGTTCCTACCAAGTATGATGACAAAACACGCCTCCCACCATACAGCAGAAGAAAAAGAAACCCCACTTGTTCCTGCCTGCCACTGGAATATATTTATTCAACTATTGCATGTCACCACCTCACAGCATTGAAGGTATTAAATCTTTACAATACACAGAGTAAATAGTAAAACAGTAAATGGTAAAACACGATTACCCGTTCTGTAGGTAGGAGCCTGAAATAAAGTGGCAAAAGGATGTGCCTGACTTCACTGTTTTGATTCCAGGTGAGGAAGGGGCAGCACTGAAGCAAGTATTCACCAATAGGATAAGATGCCACAGGGGAATCAGTTTGCTGTTTCACCCTATGCCAGAAACCTAATGACTGGTGTTGTCACATAGATGAAAATGCAGGTGAGCCCTGTGCGTGTAAAACAAAGGGTTTTCTCTGTACCTGAAATATGAAAGCCTGAGCCCAAAGCCAGTAGGTCCTCCCACAGTCAAAGCTTCCAGTTTCAATGAACCTGACTGCCAAAGAATGCAAAATCTGCTTCCTCAGATAAATCCTATCCTGACTTCTACAACAGCTACACATATATGCTAAGAAAGTCCCATGGTAAATGATCGAGGCTGGAACACAACCCACCCAAAGGGTTGTAATTCTTCTGTTGCAAATGTAAAGCCCAGGACCTACGTGATAAAATAACATCACCACGAAACACCTGTCAAACACAAGGAATTGGACATTATCACAAAGAACACTCAAAAGCTGAGGATGATGATTCCTGCTCTGTCTCTTCCCTCATCCTGTGACATATCTACCTGCTTCTCCTACTGCTTCTAACTTCCCATTCCCAGAGAAAGGATAGTTTTGAGCCTATCAGATCTAGCACTGCTTTCTAGAAGCAAGAAAAATAAAACTAGGTAACAGGGATATGGCAGTATTAGGAAGCCCCAGCTCCACATGCACAGGAATAAAAAGAAGGAAAAACACTCTTTTAAAACTGGGCTGTGGAAATCAGAGGTCAGGTAAAAAGAACAGTATGGAGGAAATGCAAAGGAGGATGAAAAGACAGACAGTGGAGAAGTTCTTCTATTTCCTTTTGTAAATCCAAAAGTTCTTTACATATCTCTTGAAGGGTCAGCCAAGGAACTCTAATGGAATAAAATGATGCTATTAAAGGCCTGTGGAGATGCTGCCATCACCCAGCAGGCAAGGGAGTGCAGTGACGGAGGTAAAGCCTGATGACAAAGCTGCGCTTTGAAAGATTTTTTATATAATGCTGTAAATTCATTCCAACGTTTTCTTGAAGATCAGCTGCTTGAGTCACCTTCAACTCTTGAGTACTTCCAGTGCAAGAGGTGGCATGGCAGTACACAGCCTGCTACCGGTGGCATTTATGAACAGGAGCATCCTGCACAATTCCCCTCCTTCATTTTGGTTTTCTGCTGTTGCAGAATTTAATCTCCCTCAGCTCCGGCAATATCGAGGCACTGCTGCCAAACACAGCAGAATATGAAAGGTGTTCTATCAAAGGGAGGCCGACTGCCTGTGGCCCAACTTAAAATGCCAGCATTCTAACTCAAAGGGACAAGCATGTGAATGCCACTCCAAAAAAAAAAAAAAAATCTCCTCTCCCAAACAGTTTTATTGATTCTGTCATTCTGTATCCTGGGAAGAAGGACTTTCATCATTTCCAATTATGTTGTAGCTTCCAGCACTGCTTAAAAGTTATGGTAAACTCGAAACTGTTGCTCACAATGAGCAACAGTTTGGGCTGTGGATTTAACCCCCCCTCAGCATCATCTAATGGGACACTGTATGCATTCCTAAGAGGTGCCACCACCTCCATGGTACACTCACAGGGCTATGCAGTTCTTGTTGTAGAATGACAGAATCTTTTCCCCCCCCCCAAAATGATGCAGAAATACAGCAAAGCATCTAAATTTGTCTTAATTAACAGAATTAGACCAAGGCTAGAAACAGCACATCACATGAGGACAAGTGAAGTAAGGGGTGGGGGAGAAGGGAGGGGGTGGTGGTGGGGGGGGAGATTTTCAAGTGCTCTAATTCAATTAGGAGGCGGTGACTGACACTTGGACAGGGGAGGTTAATTGGGGTCACCAAAACGCAGTAATTCCTTACCTAACCAGTCATTAAACTTCTTAACCTCTGAGGGCAGTCCCAGTTCGGTGAAATCGCCCGTGTGGAGAAGGATGTCCCCATAAGGCATCTGGATGCCATCTGTTCTGGAGTGCGTGTCTGAGACGCAGACAAAGCGCGTGTGGCCCGCTGGTTTCGGAGTGTCGTACGGGATGGGGTCGACCCTAAAGCAGACACATAAAGATCTCGTAACAGTTACAAGGTTAAAACCCCTCACATCTATTATTTCAGATATCAACACAGACCTCTCTCTGCAAAAGGGTGCACACACACACACACACATCCATTTACACACGCCGTGCCAAAAGAAAGGACCACAGTGCTTCCTAAATACTTACCTGGGAAAGGAAGATTAAAATATACACAAAGCATGACCAGATTCTGATGCTACAGTTAGTTTAAACATTGGGGGAAAAAAAAATGGATTTAAGAGACCTTGAATTCAGATATACGTTTTCCATCTCATCTGCCTCATGCACGGATGGGTACACAGGTCATTAAATAACAGGTCTCACAGGTGGGCCAGGAACGGGCTCTCACTCGAGCTGAGCAGCTTAGCAGCTGATTTTGTTCAAGGGCACAGGCACTCCTACAGATTCCAGCACGGATATTTGTTTACACGCAATCAGGTACGTTCAGGAGTGCTCTGGTGAAACCTGGAAACTGCAGAACTGAGTTTAATGACAACTTCTCAGACCCACAGAAACTGCCCGAGCTCATCTTCCCAGAATCCATAAAGTCAGGAACTGATGTGCTAGAGCACTAAGCAACCACAGAAAAAACTTTTTTTTTCTATAGCCAATGATGTTAAAAATTTAATTCAATTGGTTATTTGCAAGCTACATTTGGTAATTTGATCTTATCAACTACATGTGATCACAGAAGTTTCATCCTGTTTTATTTAAGCAGAACAGAGAAAAAATAATAGGTAAGAGAAATGTTTTATGCATACTTGGTGGTTAGAAGTTCTAATTTGTAGCAGAATAACTTAAAGACAAAAGGCAACCCATTGCCTACTATAGAATAGCAATTATTTCTCTGCAGAGTTACCATAATTTGATTTGCTCAACACTTGAATAGCACAACATCTGGATTAGTGCCACAGAAAATGCCATCCCAATTCCACAAAGCCTTCAGCTCATTCCACTGATGTTGCCACTTTGATCACGGTCAGAGCTTAACTCCTAAATACCTCAAAATTTCCAGCTGAAGCTATGTCAGAATAACAGTCCACTTACATCTCAAGTCATCAGAGCAGTGAAACCAAGCTCTAAGTACTTTAAAGCATCCAAAACAATGCTGTTCTGAGACTTACTGGGACAAACTGGCACAACAGACATTAAAAAAAATCAGTGACTGAAAGTAAAAAGAAAAGTAAACGGGGTTTATTAGTTTTGCTCTCCACACCGAAAAGAAAAACAATTATCACACATCACTGTGACTCTGTTTGTCTTAAATCCCCACAGCTGTAATGAGATGCATGACCAGTAATAGAAAATAAAGCACAAACCCTAAGAAAAATACAGACTTTAGAAGAACTATTTTAGTTTACTGAACTGTAAAATAAATTAGTATTTAGTATTTACTATACAGTGAACTGTGTGAAAACTTCTACTTGTGTTTGTAACTTCAGCTCCCTACATAGGTGAGAAAAACCAAAAGTATGTATTCCAGTGTGCAATTCAGTTCCTGCCCTGGGAAGCTTTAGAGTGGTTCCAGAAATCAAACTCCATGTGGGTGTGTCCTGGTCTCCTTTGGAAAAATCTCCCCATAAATGCACTTACTAACAAGATTTTACCAAGTTAGAATTTAACTTGATAAATATTAGTGAGGGAAGGGGTATAGGGTAGATATTCTTTGTTACACTGCATTTTCCTAGGTACCATAGTTAGTATTTGTAAATAATTATATATTAATTATTTGGTAAATAATTAATTTCCAATCAAGTTGTATTTACCATAAAAATACCACGTCAGCTTGCTGTGGGCCACTGAATTAATTTCCAGAATTCAGGCTCTATGAGACCAAGTTTACTTTAAAAACAGATTCTACTGCTGGCTGGACTGGATGGGAAGAGGTATTTTGGTATAACCAGATAACTGGTTTTTTGGGTTTGGTATTGTACCTCCTATTCCACCCAAGGCACCAGGTACAATTATCTGAGCCTTGCAGCTGGTTACCAATGCAGAAACAATCAATGGATTTTTCTTCTCTGCAAGGGTCTGAAATTAATAAGGTTATTATTACAGAGAAAAAAATTCATTTACCCAAGGAAATTGCCCTGGCAAGGTGGGCAGAACTGCAATTATAGGACATAGAGCTCTTGTACTCGGTGCCTTCCTTCCAGTTACTGAACTTAAGCCCCAACTTTTTCAATCCTATGTCACACAGTAAACATGAGGGTCTCCAAATCAACACACAAATCTCCACACTTCCAAGTGTATTTATTCCAGACAACACACAAAAAAAATAAAAATAAACACCAGCTTTCGTCACCACCACAAAACCTCGTTCAGAGAAATCTCTGCCTGAGCCATGACCAGCAGTGCCTGCCCCTGGGGAGTCCAGTTTTGTTTGTACACAGCAGCTATGCTTTTGCTGTTCTCTGCAGTTTGCTTCCCAACAAGCCCTGCTTTGCTCCAGGCAATCCCTATGAAGAGTGTGACACCAAAATCTGGTTTGGGGTTTTTCTATCCGCGCAATGACTCACTTACAGAAAATTCTATAATCAAAATTCATTAAGTTCCTGACCCTTCTTTCTCTTCTTTACAAACACTGTAATGTTGCCAAGTAACCTTTTTTCCTACGTCTTAGCTTTCTTCTCTTATTCAGTAGCGCTTGCCTACTAAGTATTTGAGAGTGAGATACTGAAGGTTATTGTGTTCAGTACCGCCACAATTTATCTTACTCAAAATAGTCCTTCAATAGAAACTTAATAAAAGTGGTCTTATTGCCAGTCCTAAAGGCTTAAGCTTTCTTTTCATTCACAGCTACAGCATGGCAAACAGTAATACCGGAATCTTCTTTTCTGCTGCATCACGAGGGGATTGGCCTCTGAAGGCAAAGCACTGCCTGCTCAGCTTTTTGGTGACACCCTGCTCACCACCTGGGCTGTGAACCTCTGATCACCTCACAGACCAGCAGGTGGGAATTACAGACTGGCATTTCTAAAAGCCCCGTAATAGTCATGCATCTGACCCTCACTGCAGTCCAACAGCAGATAAAACAATTATTTCAGCCCTGTCCACCACCACTCAGAGTGTGAGTCACTCAGTCAGAGCACATACCTAAGAAACTCAACTTAATTCTTTACACCTCTGTTCCAAACACAATCTATGCAGCTGACTCTGACACTCTCCATCACCACCAACACTTTATTTTTTCAGTCTTCTTCTTGGTGTGACAGACTGAAACGCTTCACAGATTATTTGATGACTGTATTTGGAAAAGCACGCTCATGGAGACGTGTTCGTACATTAGGATTAATACAGTAATCAGAAAGTAGAAGAAAGCGACCTAAAATAGCCAACTATCAAAATTAATGAGGATTTTTTTTTTTTGCTCTAAGTTAGTAAATTACTTCGAGCATCCAACTTCCTTTACAGACAGCTATCTAATAGATATTTATCACTCCTAAGATATGTTACGCCTTAGAAAATCGGGCACTTGGCTGGTTTTGAAAAAGTTTATGTAAGACCCAGAAAGAAATCCCATCGGGCAGTTGAGCAATGACTGCTTTCTAAGACCGTGACAGTAATGTAAGATCTGTCACATTTAATGCATTTATGACAAGGGTTCAGGAATCAGAAGGGACAATGTAACCTTCATGCACTTCTACAAGAACCTTGTTTATCAGATAAACACTTGGCTTTACTAAACTGCCCTCACCACCACTCATTTAGAGCAAGAGCCCCTCAGGTACAAACCCCAAATCTGAGTTCCTCGCACGTTGCTGCAGCTGAACCAAATGACAGCATGAACCAGGCTCTGATGTGGCCTGCTCTACCCGGATACCACTCCCTCAGAGCCTTCCTCCAAGCCCACCGTCACCGTGGCACTTCCAGGACAGGCAGGTGAGTGCCACCCTGCCCTGCCAGCTGTGACACAGCAGCCCACGGCACTGCTCCCAGGGACTGCACAGATTTGGGGTTGTTCTGCACTCTCCTCATCCATCAAACAGCGCGTTCCATCGTGTCTTTGTGCTCTAAAAGCGGAGATGAAATAAGCAAGAGAACGCGCGACATGAATTCAGAGACTCGCAGGAGAGGAACACGTTGGGGCCTCTCACGTGCACAGAGGAGAAGGACTTGATTTAGGATGTCACGCTGTGGGACAGACATGTAGGCTGTGCCTTTCAGCTCAAGCTTACACCAGTCACTCATAACGATGTCGTATAAATCAGCAGCGTTGGAAAGCACCTCTGAGGCAGAGAGGGCAGCGCAGCTGCAGGCACAGCCACACTCTGCACCGGGACCCTGTCTCAAAAAAAACTGAGGAAGGAAGGACACAAGCAGAATTTTCCTGAAAGAAATACTAAGTCTGATTGCAAAGGATGATTCTGCAGGGGTGAGTTTAAATGCTGAAAATAAGGGTCTTGGGCTGGGTTAGCCGGTCCCTGGGAACGCCTGTGCTTGAGAGCCAAGCCCAGAGCCTGTTTGCTTCCCTGCTCTCTCGGGTTTTGAGATATGCAGACTCCAAATCCCCTCTCAGAGCGTAATTCCCAAGAAACCAATTCATCCATGAAGATGGAATCAAAACCTTAACCGTTAAGCCAGGAAAAATTTCCAGTACCTAGCGTTGAATAAATCACTCCGACGAACGCAGCACCTATGCTGGATAAAACATTTACAGATGCTGAAGATCCCTCCTCCAGCCCCGCCTCCTACAACTCACATCAGCATTGTTCCTGCTTACAGTCCACCACACTTCAGGCTGGCTCTGCTGGCGCTGCTTCAGGTGAACAAGGCATTTCCAAATGCATGAACAGCCCTGTGACAAACAGGCCCACGTCCCTCCTAGACTGTGTCACGTCGTATGCTGGGGCCTTTCATCTCGGTAATTACTCCACTGGGCATATCTCTGACTGAATTTGTGGGTTTGTTTTTTTATGACATCTAAATTAGCATTCATTACACATCCATTTATGCACAGACTTCAAGTCTCT